GCTTAAATCTGTAAGAGAGAGGACGCCATGGAGAGCCACGATCTCCTACAATTTGAGGGTACACGGCAAATAATAAAATTTCTAAATAGTCTTAATATAAGTAATAGTCACCCATGTACATATTGATCAAGTACGATAGCTCGGAACTTCAGTGATCAGATGAAAACCAGAAAATAAGGTGATTTTCTAAGCGTAGTTTAGATGTGACACAAAACAGAAAACATTGGGCACCCACTGAGGATCGAACTCACTGTTCAGTCATAATTAATATAGTGAGATAATCTTACTAACCATTACACCAAAGACCACTATGGTGGATATCGGCTCGGATTGAGGAATCGGCGAGATCGAATTTCAGTCAGATCCATTGCTTTCACTTACGTGCTGATACACTTGGGAAAGGTATTAATCCTCTTCTTTCCACTCCCAGCTATGGTCAAATAGCGGGACAGACAGGGTCCTACAGCCTTGGATGGTTTGGTTTGGTTTACGGCATATTAACCTCAATGGGTCATTTAATGCCGACAACTTTTTTTTTCCTGGTAATATTTTTGTTTTGTCAAAAAACTTATTTCTGTTAATATTTTTTTCCTCAAAAATGTATAGCTGGTAATATTGTTTTTTCAAAAAAGTATAGCCGGTAATATTATTTTTCCAAAAACGTATTATCAGAGACCTTGCTGTTGGACGTAGTTTATCCTCTTGCCCAGGAAGCGGATGTAGTTTATCGCCATAACCAGGACGCGGATGTAGTTTAACGTCATACCCAGAACACGCCTTGGATGGTAACTGATCTACTACAGAAAGAAATAGGTACCTACTGCGGAAAAAAAAAATCTGCCTCGTCAGTCATGTATCGAAAGATACATGATCGCCTCCACGTGTATCACGCATGGCACATAACTGACTGAAGCTCTAGTTCATACAAATCAAGGGTACTTTCTGTTTACAGTATCGAGTGCTTAGAAGCGGTTACTCAGATAAATAATGACAAAGCCTGACTTTGCTTAACTATAATGATCAGAGGAGAAACTCTGCTTTTAACATTAGTTGATGTTTTATTTTTATAAGATTAATTCTTTTTTTATTCGAAAATGATTTCCATAAATTAACCTTCCTCTTTATTACCGGCATTCATTCATATCTTAGGCGTCTCTCGTTTTACTTGTTTCAAATTGTCTCCCTTTTACTTACTACCTTACTCCTTGTCTTTCGATTTCTCCTTTCTCTTAAACCTTCTCCGCCTCGTCGCCTTCTCTCCTGTTTCCTCTCTCGAAATTCTCCACCCCTATTCCTTTCGCTAATTTTCGACCTCAGCACCAACATCCCCAACGCCATATTTCTTTTGTACTCTCTTCTTCGCCACTCTGTGATTCCGAGATCCGGCGGCAGAGTTATCTTGTCCCTTTTTCGATTGCTTTGCTAATGATTTCAGCGTTCTACATTGGTGACCTGCGTCAACAAGATTCATATTTGTTCTCACTTTTTCATCTTCCGGGGCGAACTCATTAATATTTACGACAAAGTTCACTCGATTTCAATGTCGGGAGACTCCACAGCCATTTACTGACCAAGAAATTTCACAAATAAAACGAAACCTCCACAGTTATAACTGCATTAACAAAATACGACTTTGTTTTTTAATCATTTCACCCCTAGCAACGCAATAAAGCCACCAAGGCGCAAGGGAGTGTAAGAGAATACTCTTAAGGAGAGAGAACAATAAAACAAGAATTAAGACTATGAATTTAAACGTTCACTCGTTACATTTGAATTGGCTAGATTTAACCAAAACTCTTCGATGCTAACAGTTTCTTTTCTCGCACTTCTCACTTGTGGGACTCTTTTCGAGCACCATGCTTTCCAGACAACTTTGATCTTCAAAAATTTAAAAAAAGATATCAGTCATTATCTACGGTCTACTTGATCACGCTTCTCTTGTTCTCGCTCCTTGATAATATTTCTTTCTTTTCTTATTCTTTCACTCAGTAACCTTTTGTGTCTTAGTGGCTTTACTACCTTGTATGAAATGAAATGATTAAAAATATTAAGTAGGAAATTTTTTTACATAAGCATAATAGTCTTCCTATGCTGGAAACATCTATTCTAATAAGCGATCCAAGATATATGAATTGGCGCACTAGTTCAGTTCTTCATCACCTTGGTTGTCTAATTCTATTGCTCCTCATGAGTAATGCATATTTTCATAACTCCCGTCACGTAGTCACTGAGCGGATATTTTACACAAAAATATGTTCATTTCTCTCATATATCCAAAAATAATTTACAAGTTTGTCGTATTGTTGTATTTTAATGGCCATCAAACAGGTCCCACGGATCATCAGTAGTGGGTTCGAAACACATTGTGTGTCTCATACATAGTCTTGTGTCAAAACTAAGCTACGCTTAGTAAAATCTTACGAGCATCGGCCTTGGATATGATTGTCAAGTTCGCAAGTGTGTGCTGAATTCAAACCGCACTGTGTGTTCTATAGTTGTAGACACGTGATTCAGCTAAGTTACATAAATAAAACAAAGGACATCTCAGTGTGGAGTAAAATATGAAATGAAACTTTGACAGCCAGCATCAACCAGATGCGTTGATTACTATATTTTGGGGGTTAAATATTCATACACCTGATTCTCATTAGAAAGCAATGAATCCGTTAGGCAAAATAGTGATATATATATATATATATATATATATATATATATATATATATATATATATATATGTGTGTGTGTGTGTGTGTGTGTGTGTGTGTCTGTCTGTGTGTGTGTAAATCGGTAATGTTTAAACACGTCTACCCAGCTATGTAGACATTTGCAAATGTAATAGTTTCGTACAATAACTTTTTATATATTACAAAAATAACTTTAACTTAAAGATAAAGTTTTCGAATTTAGCATTCAAAACAGTTTTCGATATGGGGTTTGTTTTGTTACTATGATAGTCACAAACGAACAAAACTGCATTGCTCAATTTGATTCTTCCCGTCTATCGCGACCGAGCGAACTGCCCGTCGTCCCTTCTATCGTTACCTAGTTGCCTAGTCATCACAGTCTATTGATAGCCCGTTTACATGCCAGTCTCATTCTGTAGGTATATATATATATATATATATATATATATATATATATATATATATATATATATATATATATATATGTGTGTGTGTGTGTGTGTGTGTGTGTGTGTGTTTACATGCTAGTCTCATTCTATATATATATATATATATATATATATATGTGTGTGTGTGTGTGTGTGTGTGTGTGTGTGTGTGTCACGCGAATACCTATGTAAAATAGATGAATGAATGAATGGAATAAGCTACTGAAGCACAGAAAGAAAGAGAAACAGATAAAAAAACAAAGACTGCGTGAAGCAAAATAAAACAATTAGACATAAATAGATGTAGGCGTGAAACACACACACACACACACACACACATATATATATATATATATATATATATATATATATATATATATATAATAGGAAATATTTATATCCGTCTGTCCCTCCGTGTCTTTGAAACCCCGCTAACTCGGGCTACATTTGCTCTACACAGATATATTATACCTTTTTGGAATCAGCATGATCCCGGGATTGAAAATCTGCCCTTCATCTGGTGCTAGAATATCCGGCGTTGGGATTTGTGTCCGGATGAGAAATAAAAAGTCAAAAATTCAAATTTTAAAATAAGTGAAAATATTTGAAAATATTTTAATTTATATTGAGTTTAAAAAACAAAGTCATTATGAATTTAAATTTTCTTGTTTTAAATTATGTTTAAAATATCTCCAAAACCTTGTGAATTGAGGAAATCAACTTTGTTTTTTACAAAATGCTGAAAAAATCAGAGTTAAATTGAAAGGTTTCATTACGCGAGGTTTTGAAGTTCTGGAGAGTCTCTGATTTGAAGAACTCAACTGAGTTGTATGTATTGAATTTTTAATTACTGAAAGAGAAGCTGATCAACGGCAATGTACATACGCACACACATAAGTAGGGTAGGCAATCAAGAAAAAAAAAAGCAAAAAAAAAAAACATGCGAGATGATTGCTTGAGACTTTCATGAAAATAAATACGATTTTCTGTTATTTTAAGCTTTCTCAATTATAGTTAGAGGCCAGACGTTTTCACAATGAATTTCGTTAAGTTATTATGCCGTCATCATAAACGCCTTTCCCGCCTCTGTCTCTCAATGAAGACAGTGATCCTTAAACGTATTTTTTCGATAAAAGACAGTGACTTTTATCTACGACTATGCGGCAATATCCTCGGCAATACGATGGCCGTAAGCCTCTCCGACCGCCTGACGCCTATCTGGTCAGAATGTTTATTGTTTAGTAACAAAGCTTGTATTGTTTCCATTGTCTGTGTAACAAAAACGAGCCCATGAGGACAAACAAGAAAACAAGTATCAGCGTTGTTGTTTCAATTTGACGATCGTTGGCTCAATTTTTTTCTTCCTTAAACCATAAATACCGAGAAAGACCTAAAGCTAGTTTTATATTGTTTATGGAGGTGTACTTTTTTATTATTAGGTTTTGATATTGATTCGTACTAAGCTATTGTTCCTTGAAACAAAGCCGTGTTTAACAAGGACGCTTTGTTTTGTTTTCCGTCTGTTTACGTGAAATTTCAAGTCAATTCAAGTAACTTCAATAAAAAAGACAATTGAATAGTTTAAATTCTCTTGTTAGTGACACAAAACACAGTCAAGTTGACCGAAGATTTTACTTCGACAATAGAGACGGATTAACACCCTGGATTAGTCCAACCTTTCCACAGCGAGAAAGGTAGTTAGCTGTTTTATTCCAGAATCTCATGATCGTTCTTCAAGTAGCGAGTACAAGACGATGTTCACACGGAGAGAAAAGAGATTTTCAAACAGACTTTGATGCTAGGCGATATGCAACAATAGAATTTCACCCGAAATTTGAAACGAATTGAAATGTTTATTTTCTCTGAAACGAAAGAATGTTAATATCTA